GATGCCAACAAAAAAACCATCAAAGTGTTTTACAGACTTTGAGAAGATATCAGGACAAGCAAGTAGAGGCAGGGTTATCTGTTGCACGTGGAAGTAGACTTCAGCATTCTGCCTGCTTGTGAGTTGATGCTGCTGTTCCCTTCTTTATTCCCTGCTTCATTTTGCAATTCAGACTGAAAGTATTTTGAAACAGACAATACCTCAAATGCATTTGTAAAAAAACATAAAGCAGTCCTACTGGAGTGAGATTTCTGGCTTGTGGTACTGTTTTGAAACACTGTCAGACGTAAACAGAAAAACAAACAGAACACATAATAATGAAGTCAACCCTTACCACATATCTTAAAGGCTTGCATGTACTCTTTAAGAAATAAAGTCTTCTGTGTTTTTACAGATACAGAGGTTTCAACTGCTCTCAGAAGCCAGAGAGGCTAACAGGAAAACATAAGCATTGTAAGCATATCATGTTTAAAAACAAAAGGGAAAAAGCAAGACTGAAAGAAAGGTGAACATCATTTATTGAAAGGTTCACAGTTCTCTTAAATATGTCAATCAATGGTGTAAAAGCAGACACGTTTTTTTCACTCATTTTAGGTTGATGTCAAGAAAGGGTAAGGAGTGCATCTCCCATTCCCTTACAGATGAGTCTGTTCTCCTTTGCTCTCAATTGCAAATTTGAACCTGCATCGCACTAAGTCCTGGCACAGACTCAGGCATCACTAAGTGTCTTTCTTTGCAAACCTGCAGCCTGCTCTGCACTTGCAGCTCTATCCTTTCTCCCCACTCTGCCAGGGCTGGGTATCCCTGAACCTGTGGGCCAGCATTTTCCTTGTTGTTCTCATGTCCTGTTCAGCATGGGGCTTTCAGGTTCACTACTTGATGGTTCTCAACAAGGGGCTCACTGAGGAGAAGGGACTCAGCATCCTTTGTCTGCTTCTGCAGACAGCCAGGGACCACCAAGGTGAGATTGAAATCAGGGGCTCTACACATTAGGCCCTTCAAGCAGGATTTTCTCCAGAAGTCATCTGTAAACATTACTGAATTGATCTTCAAATCGTCAGTTATGATAAAAAGTTACTCTCCAAATTACAGATGTGAAACTGAGATATGTACATTAAAGACAACCAAATCACAACCCCCTTCAGTTTCTGTGAGCACTTTAAGAAACCATTGAGACAAACATGGGCAACTTCATCACTCCATGACACTGTTTGCACTCAGAACAAATATCTCATGGACTTCACTGCATTTGGTTCAAGCCAAAGTCAGGCTTAGTTCACATAATTTACAACTCCACAACAAGCAGGGGAACAGCTCCTAAGAATGATACTCAAGTGCTTAAACCAAAGTAGTCTGTCTACATTTCCCAGCCTCACTCATCACTTCAGTCACAATGTGCAAATGAACCCAAAACTGTGCCTTTGTTATCTTCAAAAATTATTCATTCCTATTAGCTATTCTGTGCTGGAAGGAAAAAAAAAGTCTGCCTACATTAAAAAGCATAACATACTAAAGATGTATATACCGGAGAATTAAGGGTAACTCAATGATTTCCCATCATTTTAGAATTTGGATTATCCCAATAAAGGCAAGAATTGATGACAGAACCAGGCATCTGATCCTTTTACTTGGCAACAATGTTCCAACTTCCACGAGAGAAGCAAGAATCAACGAAGAGGAATCAGATTCTTCCTAATTAGCTACTCATTTCTCTGTATATAGCTCACAGCCTTTTTTGTTGAGAGTACAATTTAATGATACAATTGATAATGCTTTCTGCCCACCCTGTATCACTACTTTTCTCAACTTCCTGTCTTTTAAGATACAAGCCTTAACAAAGTTGGAGACCCTGCACATAGCAGGGGGGAGTTGAAACTAGATGATAATGATGATGCTTTTCAACCCAGGCCATTCTATGATTCTATGATTCTGTGAAAACAATATGCCTTTCTTTTGGAATATATATATATAGCCTATGATCAGAACAGCTGAGTTCTTCTCTACTACTTCTTATGCTAATACCTAATGAGAAAAAAATCTAAGACAGTCGTTAAAAGATGAACTAAAAGCAGTTTAAAAGCACAGAGTAAAAGACACATATATAAACTTGGCAGTAACCTGACAGCAAAAGTGTAAATTTATGTTTTATGTGCTGGTCACAGAATCACCAAGGTTGGAAAAGACCTACAAAATCATCCAGTCCAACCATCCACACATCACCAATCGCTCTCACTAAACTTCAACACAACATCCAAACGTTCCTTGAACACCTCCAGGGTCTGTGACTCCACCACCTCCCTGGGCAGCCCATTCCATGCCTGACCACTCTTTCAGAAAAGCAGTATTTCCTAATGTCCAGCCTAAATCTCCCCTGGCACAGCTTGAAGCCATTCCCTCTCATCCTATCACCAGTTACACAAGAGAAGAGGCCGACCCCCAGCTCACTACAACCTCCCTTCAGGCAGTAATAGAGAGCAATGAGGTCTCCCCTGAGCCTCCTCTTCTCCAGACTGAACAATCCCAGCTCCCTCAGCCTCTCCTCATATGGCCTGTGCTCCAGACCCCTCACCAGCTTTGTTGCCCTTCTTTGAACCCACTCCAGGGCCTCAATGTCTTTCTTGCAGTGAGGGGCCCAAATCTGAACAGTACTTGAGGTGCGGCCACCAGTACTGAGTACAGGGGGACAATCACTTCCCTGTTCCTGCTGGCAACAGAGTTTCTGATGCAAGCCAGGATGCCATTGGCCTTCTTGGCCACCTGGCTCATGTTCAGCCGAGCATCAGTCAATACCCCCAGGTCCATTTCCTCTACGCAGTCCTCCAGCCACACCGCCCCAAGCCTGTAGCGTCGCCTGGGGTTGTTGTGGCCAAAGTTCAGGACCCGGCATTTGGCCTTGTTGAAACTCATCCCATTGGCTTCAACCCAGCCATCCAGCCTGTCCAGATCCCTCTGTATGGCCTCGCTACCCCCAGGCAGATCCACACTTCCAGCCAACTTGGTGTCATCCGCAAACTTACTGAGGGTGCACTCAAGCCCTCACTGTGCACTCAATGCCCTCATTAATGGTCATTTATGGGAGTATAATAGTGAGATATTTAATGTAAAGAACGTGGAAAAAAATTATCTGCTCATATATGCTCTTGACAGTAATTGTTATATTCTGCTGCTGTTACATATATGTAATTCCAATAAACAGGCACTATTTTTAGGCCTATTGGATGGCAGAACAGTGAAATATGTATGACATCTCCACTTCACGGGAGAATTTTGTTTTTTGCTTATTACTCAAGTGTCTGTGCTTTCTTTCCATTGTTCTTTTACTGCAACGTCTAACATCAAACTGTGTATTTAAAATAAATACACTGATTTTTTTTAATGTTTATGTTTTGTTTTTTTTTTCTCTGTAGGAGATATAAAGTTTATTCATCTACACTTCCCAAGTATATTTAAGTAAAAACATTACTATTTAACACATGGTCAAAACCAGAATGGGATCATGCACTCACCATGGAAAAAATATTGCTAGTCTCATGGTAGAAACATTTTTTATGCAGAGTAGGACTGTTTTTCCATATAAAAATGAACATACATAGGTCAGTGTTCATAACCTGTACTCACAAATAAAAAAATATTGGGGGAAAAAAACATCTGTAATATCCACGGACCAAGTAGAACCTCTTTTGCTAAACTTTAATTTGATTTTGTTCCATTGAGTTACAAATAAAATAACTTGAAGTATGTTTCAGAAAGAGTTAGTCTGCGTGCTTCTTCCTCACAACTGATACTTCTTTCCATCACCTCTTTTCAGGCTTCTCTATTTCAGATGTTCCTAAGACAGTGGGAGGCACAGTGCCTCCCAGCCCTCCTACACACAGATCTACGCCTCTGTCTTTCATTGTGTTACCCCCACTTTCCTCCTTCCCTGATCAAGAGCACTTTTTTTCTTAGTCTACTCTTGTGAAAAATATGGTTCCACTTGATTCACACCTCCCCTCTTTGAAAGCATCTAGGAGCTCCTTAGCACCTGGACAGTTCTGACTGCCACCTTCCTTCCCCCTAAGGATATTATGGTGCAGGATGCAGGTAACAAAAAGGTTCCAGTATGTTTGCCTCCCTGTAGGCAGAATACTTAAAGCAAGAAAGAGTGAGGTGACTTTCACACAGCTCTAATGTTTGCCTCTTACAAAATCTATATTCACAAGCAGTGCTGCAACCGCTGGACTGGGTCTACTCAACTGGCCCGTACCAAGTATTATTTGTACTTATGAGTTAGGATTTGCACTGGCCCCAATACAGATAAATTATCTAATGTTCTTCTTTTACATATCTGCTTCGAAAAAGCTGCGAGGAGGAACTAGTTATAGGCTGCTTAGTAGGAGAGGACAATTAAGTCCCTCCAGGCAGAATTACAACTTATTAAAGCTTTTGTTCATCCTCCTCCAATCTGTACCACTGGCTTGTTCAGCCAACTCTGACTTGCTTCTTCCTCAGCAATCTTTTTTCTCAGATTTACACATCTCTGCATTTACATTCTGTCTTTGTCCTTCTCCTCTTTCTCAATATGCTTAATATCTTTAGCCTATTCTTTCCTCACTGCTGACTTGTAGCTCCCTCAGAAACAAAATGCAAAAAAACCCCTGAAATCTGCCATGTACAGACACAGGCACTACACTGAGTGACTCGACTACTTTCTGAACTGTTTATTCAGTTCTTAGTAGAAGGAATACTTCCTTCTGTCAGTCTTTATCTACAAGAAACAAAATCACGGAAGAACAATGAAGGAAAATGAAGAGAAATGCTGGAGAATAATCTATAAAGTAGTGAAGAATTCTTTTGTATCAGAAGACATTTCTTCTCATGTGCAATTGACAGTAAGTGAATTTTTACTATCAACTGTTTTACATATATATTTTACAGAAATATTGTATTTTAAGCATACTGCCAGTTGCACTGAAATAAACTGCTTGCTGCTTTTAAGAAGAAATTCTTGCTTGCTTTACCTGAGCTGGTAGAAGCAGGAGACTTGCTGCGTCGGGATGGACCTGGGCTCTTGGTGGTGCTCCTTCGTGAACTTGAAGCTATTTTGGTATAAGAAGTAGATTTCACCACTCGACATTCTAAAAGACAAAGAAATTACATAAGTTAGCAATTAAGAAAGCCAGCAAGATTCTGAAACAGAAAGAGCATGAAAAGCACAAACATTTAGCCCACGCTTGTTTCCATTCATCTTGAGGAGTTTTACGGGAAAGTATAAAATCTGTACAAATGGCTCCATTAAAATCCAAGTACAGTATGTACCACTTTTCAGACAAAGAACTGCTGCGGTAATCCAGACTTTCAGATACCATGGTTACTGCAGGTACTTAGAACAGCTTAATTTAAGAGTGCCGAGACAACACATAAAATTTGTTCGCTTTTGAAGATTTCAGCACAAATAATGCAGTTGCTTTTTTTTTTTTAAATGATTTAGTTGCAGTGTAAGCATTTTTGTCAGCCTAGTAGTAACCTCTGGAAGAACTGGAAGGCTGCTTTTATATATCAAAATGTTAAGACTGTGCAAGATGACGCAGGTGTCTGTCACTCATGAAAGGTTTGAAGAAAGTGAAGCAGGTTTGTTGCTCCTGCTTAATCCTCTGGTGAGCAACAGCCCACATTGTATAGCACACGCAATTCATCAAAGGTTGAGGGAAATGGCACTACTTGCTCATAAGAGACATCAGTAAAATCAGTGAAGAGGCGAAATTACCCTCCCACTTGAGAACACTGCAAGATGTTCAGGTTAGGGTTTATATACACCCACACAGCTCTGTAGGCATTCTTGCATTACGCCTGCAAAATGGTTCTTGGCCTGAGGATGAAAGAACTCGGTGTGCATAAAGCTGATGTCTTGCAGTCATAATGGATACTAAATTAATCACTAGACAAATTATACAGTCAGGACCGAAAAAAATATTCCACTTCTTAGCCAGTATACAATTAGAAGTCTGCAGCAATGTTTATACTGCATTCACCTCAAAATGTCAGTATACTTCACTTGTTTAAACATAAATAAATAGACATTTATTTCTGTATCAGACCTGTTCCCCATTTTCTTCCCATGGTTAAGTTTCTCAAAATAGGTTAAGAGAAATAAACATGATTTTTTTTTCTCCCTAGTAAGAAAATACTATGTGCAAGCCTGCACATTATTTAGTCTCCACAGACGATCAGTGAAGCCTGTAACATAGTTTAGACAGATTAGAGTACAAAGAAATAAAATTGAGCATAACTAATTAACTTAAATATCTCCACCAGTGAATGATGTCATGAAGTGTATTTCTCTTGGCCGCCCTAACTGCTTGTCTGTCGTCAAGCTGTTGAAGAAGATGGAAACAAGAACTGATGCATTACTGAAGGAATGTCCAGCACATCTGAGAGCAGAGGACCATAGAAAAGCCCTAGTCTTCCCAAAGAAGCTTTTCTTCCCAAACTCTTCCATGTTCCTAATGACTACTAGTAGTAGTTAATTTCTTTCTGTTGACATTTTATGTGATTCATTCATTGCTAATCTCATTACATATCAAGTGACGACTGGAAATGGAGGAAAATGTCTACTCTGTTGTATGAGTTGATTATCAACTGAAAACAGGAAGAAACAGATGAAAGCTTTCAGATAGACTCAAGTAGGCAACTACATCAGAAAACTTACATGATGTACTTGCACAAATGGGTGCTTCAGAAATTGTCTATACATTTCAAATGCAAACAGGTTCTTTACCTTGTTAGCAAAGACCTAAAATGCCCAAACATCTAACAGTCAACTTCTTTGATTTTGTAAAATTATGATTCTATTCTAGTGTATGTCCCTATTCACAGGAATCAGTCAGTAAGGTAATTGAATATTTTAGGGGTCATTGAGCAAAAAGGCTAAAATAACGTCATCTAGCCAAACGAAAACCATCAGACTATATTCACTTGCTTAGTAAAAAAAACCTTAAGAGTCCATGAGGAAAATAGCCATCTACTTAATGTAATACACTTTACTGTACATGAGGCTTTTGTTTACTTTCACCATATGAAGAACATGGTATCTGCATTCTTTGTTTGCAATTCATGCTACAGGCTGCACTTTATCTTTCATCTCATTGCAATTATTAATACCTACTTATATTTTGAATACCTTATAACCACCCGGAGTTGGAAAGAGGTTAGAGACAAGATTCTGCATTCAAAGGTGCATTCCCAGTCACGTTATTGGAAAGGAATAGACAGAAGGTGGTCAGAAGAGGTGTCTAAATGCACGTCTAAGTTATGTTTCTGTCCTACAAACAAAATCGTGTCTCAATCAATATTCAGGATAGCACTTACTTGGACCCAGCCTGTTCAGAAATGTGAAGTAAATAATAAAGTGGGAAACGAAGATGTGTGTAAATGGAAAGACAGAGACATTTTGTCACTGAGCCCCAACTGGAACACAGAAGGTTCCCTATGATTTTTTTTACTTTGAGGACGCATAAGCACTGGAAGAAGCCTCATCCAGTGCTCTTTTCCACTGGAAGAAGCCCGGAGACATAGCAAAATCTCCACCCTTGGAGACATTCAAAAGTCATCTAGAGACAGACCTGGAAAACCTTTGTTTGTTGGATAAAATGTTACTCTGCTGCTTGCTGCAGAAAGGTCTGAGCTCCCACAAACAATTTATGTATGCAATGATATTGTCACATTAAGTTTGGAGAATTAAATTTTACTGCAGGCAAAAACCTCACTCAGTAAGGACACAACCATGGCTTGCCTCTTCTAAGACATCTATACATAAAGAAGAGAAAACAAAACAAAAGTGCATTGTTTCTAAAACCACATTTTCTATTCAGTATTTACACTGGCAAAGAAATAAATACTCTCTTCTCTTCATCTGATAACTCTGATAACTGTACAATAGGTGCTTGGCAAGCCATGAAATGGATTTTTTTCCCTGAATTTCTTTTGATGCCAAAACTACCAGAAATAGATCCAGACAGATGAGAATTATGCTCTTTCTCACACATGTGGGCATGCTCAGTGAAGAAGACACAATATTTTTCTATAGTATGTTCAGTGAGGAAAGAAACATTTCATAAAGCCCCAGTCCTTCCTCTCACTAGCGATGAAAATTAAAGCAACAAAATGATGATACCCATGGTAACATGAAGCAAAAGAAGGTCAATTTCAAGGTCCGATCACAGACTTTATTGCTTTCCAACTCAGTATATCAGATAAATAAGAATGTTTCTTCAGCCAGAACATCCTGCAATAAGATCTTCTATTGTATAACTACAGACAGAGTGACAAAGTAGGAGAGGTTAACACAGAAAATCAGCACTGAGACTAACAACATAACACACTGCAATGCCTCTCTAACAGGGATACTACCATGGGTGTCTGGGGCATTTAATGGATTTTTAACAATAAGGTTGAGAAAAAAATGGAAATACCCCAGGGCTACTACTTGACATGACTGAGACACCTCAGGGCCAAGATAAAGAATGGAAAGCACCTGAGATTGCACAGTGATGCCACCGAGTGTGCCAGTTGGTACAAGGAGGAAGCCCAACATACTTATGTGCCCCTGATTCTTTCTATTGTCAAATGCATAAAACGTTAGCATATGGTAACCATGGGATGCTAATGCGCAGAATCATAATGCCTCCAACCTCCAACTCTGCGATGTTCCACCTCCAAAATGCTTAATTAGCTTATGTGTTCATTAAATTTTACAATGGCAAGAAAGCAGCAGAGAATAACTAATCCACAATAAATACGTGAGAAAACGAACAAATTTAACTTTTTTTCTAGAAAAGGTTGTGAAAAGTTACCAATTACCAAGAATTACCAAAAATTACCAAGAGATTCAGCTACTCAGAAGTTCACTGCATGAACTTCTTGAGCTTCTTTTCTGGGTTAAAATACCACTTTCTGTTGCATTTTGTCTTCTTTGAGGTCTGTGTGTAAGGAACAGATATTTATTCTTTGGTATCCTTGCCAATCTGGTTGTTTAGGATGAGAACATTTAACTTGCTTCAGCGACAGCTGTATCCTACAGATAAGCAAGCGAGGAGGATGAAGGATGTCCATGCTTGTTGGTAAGCCACTTTACTGTAAGCCTTAGGCTGGTACCTTTTACCACTGCTTAACAATGTCAGCCTCACTATCCATGTCCTCAGGCCAATCAGTAGATCATTACTCCATATTTTTGTTTTTAATATTGAGTGATTTGTTCCATGTATCTAATTGGTAATGCAGCTAATAAGATTTTACTTTTTTGCTGCATTTATGCCTTCAATTAAAACCAGTAATCTTCTATTTGCAGCACTAAATTTCACTCTCTTCAGCAAAAGGGAAATAGCATCATCCTCTCTAGCGGCACTGATATATAATGCAGTTCACCCAACCCTACTGATGAATCAGAGGCAGCTATGGCTTGCAATTACAAAATGTTCATAAGGGTAACTATCAACCAGCTTCCAGAAAGGAAAAGGATATAAGGAGTTGTGCTAGGGTTTAAGTAATTTCTAATCTTCTGTTTTCATGGTTGTGTCGACTTCAATTTTATTCTGCATGTCTTCCCATTCAGTGTGTTTCTGATGTAGATGGACAGTGAAGTTTGAGCAGAATACAAAATCCTAAAGCTTTATCCCATCCATTAAGCTATCTGCTACTGTAAATACTCATTTTTTGTGACATCCTATCTATTGATTTGATTTCTAACCACTCTTCTGCTCATTATGAGGATTAGGATCCCTGACTATTTAAAAAGTGACAAATTTTTGTAGCAATAAATACCTAGCTTTCTTTATTTATCCCTGAGAAACATGCTTTTATTGGGATATAAAATATGAAAACGCTGAATTTTCTTTAATGTGAAAGGGTGTTCTCCAATTCTGAAACTAGGATAAGCGTTCACTGACAAAGAAAAAGTTTCATACAATAACTTCCAAGCTGTTAGGAAGCCAAGTAGCTTCATTCAACCTAAGCATATATTGAGATGTTCGTACTTCTCAAAAAAATGGTTGCTAGGTTAGAAATAGTGAAGGTATTTGTGAATCTGACTAGAATATCATGTAATATCACTGATATTTAATGCTGTCAAATTTCCTATTTT